TAAAAATTGCTTCATAGTTCCAGGCAGAATTATGTTGGTCGTGGGCCAGAATTATTTTAATGCCGGCCAAATTAAACGATTAAACGGTTAAACGATTAAACGATTAAGAAAAATTTTAGGCGATTCCAATCCCTATCTAAAAGATTTTTTTTGTGAGAGATACTCTGGGGTTCAGAATTAGCACCAACAGTGTTTTTGATTTTTTTCTGTGATGGCTATATAGAAGTAATTTTTATTGCAACTATTTTGTCTTTGAATTTTCTAACTATGTTTTGTATTTGTTTGTTAACTGTATCTTGTTTTGTTAAGATGCTTTTCTTTGTTTCTGGTCTATAAGTGCTAATATTTTCTTCAAATGATACAATTGGTCAGAGAGGAGTAATTTCTATAGATACTGGGATTGCTTTTGTTCTATTTGTACCAACTCAAAAATATTTATTTTTTGGTTTGTCAATTTGCATTTCACTATCATATCTAAAGTCTAGGAGGATTTCTTCTTCTTTTGTTAGGTCTTGCTCTCTTATTTTTTTGTGTTGGGCTCAGTCATATTAATGTAGTACTGTGTGTATAATAGCTATAAGATAAAAGTTATGAGTGCTAAAAATTTTGTGACTTTTTTAGCTTGTTTTATAATTATCGAGTTTTGTTCTGTATACAAAGAAGTTCTTTTTTCTTCAGGTTTGTCAAAGAGTGCTTGATATTTTAGAAGTTCTAGTATTTTACGTGTTTGTTTGTTTTTGTATTTGGTACATGATTTTTGTTTTGTTGTTTGATTGTCTATTATCGGAAAGCTATTTGTTTATTTAACTAATTTGAACGTGTTTGTTTAATTGTTTATTTTGTTTGTTTGGGATCTTTGAGACCAAGTCAAAGACAAATTTCCAAAATTCTACAAAAATTTTCAAATTTTTGCTGAAAATTTAAAATTTTCCAAGAAGCGAGTTTTCAAGACTGAGAAGTTTAAAGTTGTTTTAAGAGACTCTAGTTGTTTTCTTTTGCTCTATCTTTTGGCTTAGAACTAAAATTCTTGTTGTCTTAGTAGAGTTTTGCTTTAGGTTAGATTTTCTTTTAGCTTGAGATTTGGTATAGATAATTAGTGAAGAAAGTTTTGTTAAAATTAAGCATTATTAAATGTCTCTATTGAATTTATAATAATATTAATATAAAGATTTAATATAATAAATACTATAAAAGTATAGTAACTTAGTAAAGTGGTAGAGTTGTTACACCTCAGATAACAGATTTAAAGTTTGAATTCTACAAATAATATTTTTAAAAAATAGCCTTGTAATATAGTTAATAGCTATTACAATTGGTTGGATCCTAATCTGTAACTTTGATTACACTATCTAGAATAGAAGCTTTGGTATAATAAATCCAAAAAACTCAAATAACTAAGAACCTATTTGGCAAGTTCTAAGTTGGAAAGTAGCAGTAATCTTTGATAATACTATAGAAAGACTAAATTGAAACCAAAGACCAAGATCAAAGAACTGAGTAACTAGGTTCTTAAGTAGAAGACATATTAGCTGAATTACCAGTTTGTCACTAAAGAAAAAAAACTTGTGTTCTAGAAGTATATATCAAAGAGAGAGAAACTGTGATGTACCTAATATCTAGGCAGACTAACTCTTTCAGATTGCTAGCTAGAAGTAAAGAAGGGACCAATAAGGAATCTGAGAAAAAAAAAAATTGAAGTATGAATACTAGGATTGTTATAAATCTTGCAAGGGCAAGAAGTATATAATGAGAAACTAATTAGAAAGATTGTAGCTTGAGATATAAATCAGATTATAGCAGTATTCAAAAAAATAGCTTAAGGTAGTGTTATAAATTGTCAAAATTTTTTCAATCGATTAGTTGGTTATTATTTTTTCAGTTGGTTGCAACTAATCGATTATTGCAACTGATCGATTAATCAATTAATCGATTAGTTGCAACTGGTCAATTAATCGATTAATCGGTTAATCAATTAGTTGCAACTGGTCAATTAATCGATTAATCAGTTAATCGATTAGTTGCAACTGGTCAATTAATCAATTAATCGATTAGTTACAACTAATTCATTAAGTAAATAAATAATTTTTCAATCGATTCTTTAGTCGATTAGTTGCAACTAATCGATTAGTCAACTAATCGATTAATCGATTAGTTGGTGTCTAAAAAGTTCAATCGATTAGTTGTCAACTAACCAACTAATCGATTAAATTCGATTTCGATTTGTATCACTACCAGACAACGTAAAAATCACCTTGTGTAATTATGCAATTTATATGCATTCAAATTTCTATAAAACCAAGATATTTTATGTGTATTAATTACATCTTAGAAAAATTAAATGGCAGAACAAACTTCAAATAATAACAAAATTTTAAATGCAATTATTTTTATCAAATATGCAAGACATACAGTCGAAATAATCACATTTATAATAGTTATTTTATATGCCATACAACTTTGGAAAACCATTATACATAATTTAGATGAACCAATTACTACTATAGAAGAACAGTATGGTTCTATTGGTGATAATAGTGCACCTTTTCCACGTAAGTTTAATTTCACTATATTATGTGTGCATTTATGAAGTAATTAACACTGTACTTATATGCTCATATCAACAGCTTTTATGATATGTAATAAATGTAAGTATTGATCTCTTTTTATTTTATAGTATAAAAAATTTTATTATATTAATAAAAATCAACTTTTTATCTTAAATCTATAGTAATGTTTCCTAATTTAACAACTTTCGGGTCTCATGATGTGCCAAATACGACTAATCAATCAGTACTACTTAATGATTCGAAGGTGACTCTGGAATCGGCTGCCAGAATTTTACCCAGGATTTGTATATTCTAGATAATAGATTTAATGAATTTAGTGGATTATTAGATAGTGGATTATTATATTATGTCGGTCCATATTTCAGTTCATCTGTTTATGGAATACTTATTAATATATCAACTAAAAGCCCACCAAACTCACATCAAGATTACTTTGATTACTTTGAGCTTACTATTAATATGAACGAGACTATATTGAATGATAATCAGTATAATTATTATTTCAATGCTAAACATCCAATACCACGTGGCCAATTGCTTGTTTTAGAATTTTCTATAAGATTCAAAAAGTTTTATAATGATCAAGCAAACGGCATGTTTGCTTTAAGCCCTGATACACTTTATGGATATATCGAATTTAAAGAAAAGAAAGTATTTCCTCTAATAAATGCTTCATATTCTATATTGGAATTGGTACCTGCTATGCCTCCTTTTCGTCTCGATAAAGTAATTTTTCAAAAACATGTAAGCTTATTTTTTTTTAATGGAATTATGTTTTTAAATAACCTATTCATTTCTCTTTATTTTCTTTATTTATTTCTTAGTTGATACTATGTTATCAGAGTTTGGAGGCATCTTTAGTTTTTTTTGCCACATTATTAATATACTTGTTTGGTGATTCAAAACTTAATCCATGGTGAATGTTAAAATATTTCATTTTTAAATTATAAGTATTACAAAGATCTTTTATCTTTGCATTAAAGTTTATATATTTTCGCAATTTTCAAATAATGATCGAGTACAAATCTGATTTTTCATATTAGATTCTTACTAAAACCAATATATTTATCTTTTAAGTCCTAAAAATTTACAGTTTGACTCTAGTAAGAATCTATATTTTCTATTATACTTGCTTTTAAAAGAGTGCACATTATTATGTCATGGGAAATAATGTACTTGCATCTTTTGAAAATAGCAGTAATATAAAATTTCTTTTTATGACTTATAATGTCAATAATTTATTTTAATCTAATCGAATTTAAACTATATTGCAATGATGCGTTATTTTTATAATGTGTTATAATAAATGTTGCAGATCATAATGAAATCGGATTAAAATGAAACCGGGGACCTTTCTTGCTCTTCTTTAAAGCTTATAAAACTCACTTATACTCTTTTATTAATAAAACTAACTCTAAACCCTAATTCTAACACTAACCCTAACCCTAAAAAATGTCCCCCAAAAAATTTTAAAATTTTCTAAAAAAATAGAAAAATTTCATTTTAATCCGATTTCATTTTAATCTGTCACAATAAATTATTGCTCACTGTAATTTTAAATTTTAACATTTGTAGGAATTGTTGCGTAAGGATGACAGTTTAC